CACACACACACCTGGTACCTGCCCTGACACACTTCCTTCGTCTGTCATTGCAACACATCTTTTGTTCTCACTGAGTCAGATCAGTGCGTGTGTGTGTGTGTGTGTGTGTGTGTGTGTGAAACCAGTGAAACCAGTCCAGTGAGGACGAGCTGCGGTGGAGGTTTGCTGGAGGTGATGTCATGGTTCCGGTGCAGTGGTTCTGGTTCTCAGCAGTTCTGATGAACAGCGGCGTTCCCCTGGACCCGCCATCCGCCCCGAGCTCCTCCCTGCGTCCACTTCCTGGTTCTACGCCGGTCACCTGACCTCCTCCGTCGTGGCAGCAGGACTCTCGTTGTTCTGATGTTTTCGGAACGTTTCATGAAAATCTTTGTTGGAACATTTTAGTCGGATGTTTTTAAAACGATGAAACTATTGATTGATTGATTGATTGATTGATTGATTGATTTGACATTGTCCAGATACTTCATAAGCCTCTGTTGGAACTGTATGTCTTTGTGGACTGTTCTCAGGTATTTGTGGTCGTTTGTTGTCGTTGTTGAGATGTTGTTGTGGTTCTGTTGGGCTGCGGTGTGTGGACGTGCTGGTGTTGGACGGGTTCTGATTCCTCTGTGGTGACTCTGACTCCTGATCCGACAGCGTGGAGCCTCTGGAGCTGCACACGTCGTGACCGTCGACTGTCCTCAGCGACCTCCGTGTCCGACTCGCCTCTGTCTCGCTGTGCGACTCTTTTGTTGATGATTGTTTTCAGGTCGTGCTGAAGCGGGACTCGATGGATTCAGTGTTTGACCTGCCGTCACCTTGCCTGCAGCGCCGCCGCACACATCAAACAGTCACGCGACAAAATCAATGTGAGCCTCTGACTGTTAGGCTCTGCTGCAGCGCTGCATGGATCGCATTTTAATCTGCAGTTAAGTGCTTTGATTGATCTTCTAAACCCCCGACAAACACTGTGACGGGAGCTCAGGACATGTGAGCCGTTCACTGACTTTAACTACTCCTAGAGTACATGTAAACTGTGATGCGTTCACTGACCTAGTGAACCAGTGGATGTCAGGCCCCTGCCTTGTTTTCTGTTTGACTGCAAACTCAGACATACAGACATAATGTTGTCCTGCAGAACGCCACAACAGGAACACAGTGGTCTTGTCTGTCTCTCACACACACACACACACACACACACAGACGCACACACAGACACACACACACACACACACACAGACGCACACACAGACACACACTCTCTGCAGGAATGTGTCGACCAGCTGAGAATGGGTCGTCGCGTCGGACACAAACTCAGCAGGTTTGAGCTCAGCTGAGAAAATCACATTTGTGGCCTCGTTAAATCGGATTAGACGAGCTGACCTGAACCATGTCAGTGTCTCCGTGGTAACGCCGTGTGTGTCACCATCACGGCAACACACTCGATTCACCGCAGGTCAACAAACCGACGTGTCCCCACACAGCGACCCGACTCAGACCCTGGTCGGGGAGAACCGAACCATCGCTACACCTGAACTGCACCGAGTGTGTGTGTGTGTGTGTGTGTGTGNAGGGCTCTGTGTATTTACTGGTAACAGCAGGGCTCTGTGTATTTGCTGGTAACAGCAGGGGTCAGTGTTCGTACCCGTCAGGCTGCTGAGCTGCAGCTGTCGCAGGCCGCTGGTGTAGTTGAGGGTCGTGGACGAGAAGTTCCTGTTGTAGTTGGACACCACCAGCAGAGCGTACTGGTCCTCGTAGAGGTTCTGTCCGCGGATCAGCCTCAGATTGACCAATGGGATGGTTGCGGCTTCGTTCATGGCGATCAGAACGTAGCCGCCGACTTCCTGGATGGACTGAAGACACAGAGGAGAAGAAGATGAACGAGAACAAGAAATGAAGTGATTATTTTTGTGTGTTTACACTCGTGTGCTTTCAAATGGAGTCACTTCATTTCAGGGATGCCAATAATCTATTCAGTATGGATCATCATTCACTGGATGGACCTTCTGCGTGATGATCAGGTGCAGCCAGACCTGTCTCCATCTCTGACAGAGCTGTGCATGAACAACACTGCTCTGGTGAAACTTCTCTCATTCAGCATGAAGTCCTTTAAACAGACGTCGGGTCATTCAGGGTTTTTTGTTTCCTTTTAGGACAAATCTTTAAATTAAATTTTGAGTTATTTAGGATTTCTGGGGGAGGAATTGAACAAAATAGAAATTTGTTAAACATGACTCTGTTTGTCCAAGATAAGTTAGAAAAGGTCAGAAATGAATCCAAACGTCTCCAAAGTTACAAAGAAATTGTCCAAAAATGTTCAAAAACTTTCCAAAATCAGATGAAACTGGCCCCAAATGGCTGAAAACCAAATGATAACTAAATGATTCACAGTCAGTTAAAGATTGCAAAGACTTTAAACTCTGCTGACGCTCGGCTGAAGCGACTCAGAAACGCTCCAGAATGATTAAATGTGACCCAGATGTTTAAAGTTCTGATAAAAAATGACCAAAAGCGAGTTGAACCTCGTTCAAAGTGACTCGTAAAAGGTCCAACACGACTGAAACTACCAGGCTGAGCCGGAACCTAAAGCGAACATTTGAGCGAGTCTCGTGGACTCTGTGTGGACTCGCCTGGAGGAAGCTCAGGTCCTGGTGCTCCAGGCTGTAGGTCACCTCCAGGTTCTCCAGGACCACGGAGCAGTTGGAGAACATCCTCACCATGTTGTCGTAGTGGTGCTCTCGGGACCCGAGCAGGCTCAGCTGGTTGCTCATCCCCTGGCACACTGAGGAGGAGGACACAGTCAGCTGCAGCTCATGAGCCGGCCACCGGGGGGCGCCGTTCCCCACAAACACACACGTCTGATTGCTTTTCCCCTTTTCAGACACTGCAGTCGTTGTTTCACGTCATCGAGGTTTGTTAAGAGCGACATGTGGCAGAGAGCTTCCTTTGGGATGAATCCGTTTGACCTTTGACACCTTCGTCACTTTAACGCTCATTTAGACTGAAAACGTTGAATTCACGTTGAGGGAATAACATTAAAGGAACCGATTCTCCTTCAGGACAGTTTCACTTGTTTCTGGTTTCTGCAGAATCTCAGCTTCTAGATTAATTTGTTTTCTCTGAAGAGCCGAACTCGTGTCTCATATGCATTTTTAATTTCTCTATTGCTGTTTGATCTGAACAAATTGCAACAGACTACTCAAAAAGAAAATTAATTAGAATAATAATAATAAAATAATACAATAATTAAAAAAATAACATTAAAACAATAA